CCATACTTTTTTTAGTAGATTATCACCATAAAAAGCAATACATAAAAATCGGAATGAGAGAATAAAGAGATTGTGATATTAGGAAACATTTATGACGCGATTCCAAAAGAAGATTGATGGTGATTCACGAATCAATCAGTGGGTAACAAAGAAAAATTATACACCGAATGAAATAAAATTTATTGTACAAGATTTTATATGTAGACAAGGAAAAAAACGCAGTTAAGAATCACATTATTGAGAGTGTTAAAATGGTAAAAATAGACATTTTTATTGCTATATGGAGTAAATAACAGATATTCCAAAATAAAAAATTAGAAATCTAGAGTCAAAAATGTAAAAATGAAGTGACACAAAAAAGAAACCAATTTTCTGGATCGTATATGTACGAATCTATTTACGAATATCGTTGACTATTTAAGCACAACAAAATCGGTGTTTTTGTCCGTCTTGCATTGTGAAACCAAAATTTGATGAAGGTACGTTTGTCCAAGAAATTACGGGTAGATCAGAATTTTATTAACAAGTTAATTGTGTTTAAAGGAATTATATTTTAATTATATTTTCTGGAGAAACTCCAATAAAATCATTTGATCTATTATAACTACAGAACTAGCATATAAAACACCAAGCGTAATATATATAAAAAATTTCAATAGTATAAATTATGAGTGACAACATACATTATACTGTTATACAGTATATTACAAAAAAAAGATCAGCCTAAAATGGGCATAAATAGAACACAGCGAGGACGTAAGATGGTTGATCAGCAAGAAGATGCATGCATAGTTCAGAGTCCTGAACAAGTGAGAATAAATACCATACTCTCCTTATTCATACGAACTACGGAATTTGCACTATGCTAAAAAGTTCCCTTAAGATGCCAAAATCATCTTCAAATAAGGTTTTTAGAGGGCAAAATCAAACACAGGAAATAGAAACTAATAATCAAGCATGCAAAATCGTAAGACCACCACCATCCTTTACATTACCTTTTCCGCCAGAGATTAATGCAGAGGATTTGATTAACAGCAAAACACGTAAATTACCTTCTAAACCTCCTAATGCATTTTTTATATATCGAAAAGTTTATACAAAAGAATTAATCGCAAGAGATTTTCGATATAAAATGACTGATGTATCACCATGGGTATCTAGTTCATGGAAAAATGAATCAGATAAAGTACGGGAAAAATATAAAGAAATTGCAAAAGGCGTGCGTCAACTTTACAAACAAAGCAAATTAGAGAATACGGAAGAACGCATGGTTGAAAATAAGACACAAATTCATGATCCACAACCTTCACCGTTACCTTCCACGCCTTTTACAATACCCAATCCTGAGTCACCACAAGAAACACCATTTAATCAATTGAATAATCGATTTAATGATCAATTGAATAATCGATTTAATGATCAATTGAATAATCGATTGAATGATCAATTGAATAATCGATTGAACGATCAACTGAATAATCGATTGAATGATCAATTGAATAATCGATTGAATGATCAATTGAATAATCGATTGAATGATCAATTGAATCAAGAACAAACATGCATTCAAAATTATCGACAAATAGAATTTTCACCGATTTCTGAAACTAGCGAATTGGATCATAATATTAATATTAATATTAATAGTCAAGCATTACAAATGACCAACATCATTGATGGATTGGAAATTGAACCATATAATGAATATTTTGGAATTACGTTCCAACCACCATACACACCATATTATAATGGACAAATTACTACGGAACCTTATGGATTGGATCTTTTCCTTGAAAATTCCCATGTTGAATGGGATCTTGGAGAGAACGAATTTCCATCTTATTAAAAAGGGATATTAAAAATGGGTATATAAGATCAAAGGAACCAAAGAAAATTGTCTTATGCTATATACAATATGTACACAGTATATATAAAACTCTGTTAATACTTGTAAATAAGTATGTAGTGTCGTTAATTGGTGGGATTATCGCTTATTGTTATCGTTTATTGTTATCGTTATTGTTATCGTTATTGTTATCGTCGTTATTGTTATCGTTATTTTATTGTTATTATTATCGTTATTTATTAGGATCGTTATTAGGTTATGGTTTTTGTAGTTGTACGCATCAAGTATTTTCAAGTATTTAGCGAACATTATGCTTTATGATTTTATGATTTATGATACAATGGAATTTAAGAAAAAAAAAATATTAAAGATGTCAAGCAGGTCAAGCGGGTAGACATGTGTTTATATTTTTTTTTTATGAATTATATTATTTCCTTAAGAACAATCTCAATTTATGCATAAATATTTTTTCGTTAGGAATTCTTGCATTTAGGATATTTAAGATTTTAACAATGCATTGTCATTGTTGACTGTAAAGCCCAGTCACGTGAGAGTTTCCACTTGACTACACTGCTATAGTGATATTATTCAAAACAATTAGTAAAATGTTCTTTGAGAGAGGTTCTGCAACCATTTTTAATAATACTTAAGATCTTTAATATTGTAAATTTCCAAATTTCCTTTATCATGAATGATAGGAATGACCGCGCGTTTTACGTAAGTGATTATATCAGCATTGCCATCTTTACTAGCGGTAGAAGAAAAACCAATCATATACTGATATATCTGTATATATCGCTATGTGAATTACGTATATCAAAATAAAGTTTAATTTGTTATACCGTCAAATATAAACAGACATGTAATCCCAATGAACAATGTAATTCCGTATACAAAGGACCGATAAATTTTGATTAAGGCAAGTCGTACAAAGTACAGTTCGAAAATCGTCACGTTTTCTACTCCTTATCGTTGTACTCCTTATCGTGGTACTCTTATCGTGGCGGGCAATTTTGGTACATACATAATTCTAATTCTATACAACAATGATACGCGCAGTAGGTTAAGATACACCGATTGACTATATTAATTTATATACTACTTCATCCTTGGGACAATTTAACAAAAACAGAATTGCGCGTATGACAAAGATTGAATTGAAAAGATGGACTAACCGAGATGGTGCGAAAATGCAAAGAAATTAGAAGAACTTCAAAAGCTAATAACATGCTGTAAGGAGCGAAGTCAGAACAACG